GACATCGACAAGTGCACGGGGAATCGACGTTCGAACGAATGCGGGACTTGCGACGACAGCGCCACGGCCAACTGGGTTTAGGCCGGGCTTGTCCCTGTACAGGGGGAATTTTCAAACCTAGTCCAAACCTCCGCACGTTGTTCAACGGCTGGGTCACCTGGCGTCGCATGAGGCACGCAGAGAAAAACGGCGTCGACAAGCCGTGCCAGTGCTTACTCGGCTGCGAGAGCGGCGACGACAGCATCGAGCACTACAGTGTATGTCCGGCTGTGTGGGGCCATCTGCAGCGCGACAGACCTGTTGGGCTGGGCATGAAAATGCCGCCTGCCATGCTTTCATTCTTCCTCCTGGACCCGGGAACTTCCGAAGAAGATGTGGCGCGATTGGCTCTACTCAATTACGGCGTGTACCGCACCACCAATTACCTCCCGTTTGAGACAAAAGACACGGGAGTGTCGACACGGACATTGCTTTCACGTTGGGTCAAGAGGGGCGCGGAGAAGTCGCGGGCCAGGCGGCTCCTGTATGACGATCGCTGACTTTATCTATGGTGCTGTCGCTACCACTCATGGCCCCGCGCGGGGTGGCGGAGACTTCGTTTATAAAAGGGTGCACCAAACGTTGTTCGCCGAGGAAAAAATATTTTTGAGCATTTTTGGAATATGTGTTGAGTATTTTCATTCGCTCGTCCAGAATCCCCCTGAAGGGGGCAGGCCCGGCCGAAACCTAGGGGGATGGGGATGTGTCGAAAGTGCGCCGACGGAGGGCAGGCCTTCTGAGCAGGCGATCGCAAGCATGGGTCAAGGGGGCGTGGATCAGCGATGGGTCCCGTCTCCATGGGAAATCGCGGATTCCCGCCGCCGGACGGGGCGGCACCCGCCGCATTCCGTGGAGGGCACCTCCCCCGATGCATCGAGTTGGCGACCGCGCGCCACATCCACGGATCGTCGATCCATGTTTGTGCGCCTCGGGAGACACAGCGCGCCGCGACAGGGGCAGAGTTCGGGGCGGTGCGGACGGGGAGCTGCGGACCGGGTGCGCGGGGTATACCCCCGAAGGCGGGCGGAGCTTGCGCACGAGGCGGGGGCGCACGAGCATGCCTCGGCGGCGCGGCCGGGGCGCAGGGGAGGAGGAGGAGGAGGAGGAGGAGGAGGAGGAGGAGGAGGAGGAGGAGGAGGAGGAGGAGGAGGAGGAAGAGGAGGAGGAGGAGGAGGAGGAGGAGGAGGAGGAGGAGGAGGAGGAGGAGGAGCAACAGGAACAGGAACAGGAACAGGAACAGGAACAGGAACAGGAACAGGAACAGGAACAGGAACAGGAGGAGGAGGGGGAGGAGGAGGAGGAGGAGGAGGAGGAGGAGGAGGAGGAACCGCGCGGTTTTCTCAGTGTGTTGGGGCCCCTGGCCTTCTGAGAGGTTGATTGAGCCTTCCCGGAAGACAGAACATGAGTTTGGCGAAGGATCCAACCAGTCGCATATGTGAGTGCCGCAATTATGGATATCGACTTCGGTGGCGCTCCCTACGGGGCCACGAACCGCGCGGGGGGCGTGCCAAAATGGGCGGTGGGGACGCATGGGAACGCCGCCAGTGGTGTTTTGGGTGGAGCGTCCTATGGGGCCACGAATCGTATGAGGGGTGTGCCAAAACGGGTGGCGGGGTCGCATGGGAACGTCGCCACTGGGGCATTAGATGGAGCTTTTTATGGGGCCACGCACCGTGTGAGCGGTGTGCCAGAATTTGTGGCGGGGACGCACGGGGACGTCGCCATTGGAGCCTCACGCGGAGCCTCCTTCGGGGCCACGAACCGTGTGAAGGTTGTCCCAAAATGGGAGGCGGGGGCGCACGGGAACGCCGCCGCTGGGGCCTTAGGTGGAGCTCCCGATGGGGCCAAGGACCGTGTGAGGGGTGTGCCAAAATGGGTGGCGGGAGTGGATTGGAACGTCGCCCGTAAACCCTTAGGCGGAGCTGCCTATGGGACGACGGGCCGTTTGAGGGGTGTGCCAAAATTAGGTGCGGCAACGCATGGTAATGTAGCCATTGGAGCATTAGGTGGAGCTCCTTCTGGGGCCACGAAGCGTCTGAGGGGTGTCTTGAAATGGGTGGCGGGGGCGCATGGGAACGCCGCCACTGGGGCCTTCGGCGGGGCTCCCTATGGGGCCACGAATCGTGTGAGGGGTGGGCCAAAACGGGTGGGGGGGACGCATTGAAACGTTGCCACTGGGGCCTTATGCAGACTTCCCGATGGGGCCACGAACCGTGTGAGGATGGTGCCAACATGGGCGGCGGGGACGCATGGGAACGTCGCCAGTGGTGCATTAGGTGGACCGCCCTATGGGGCCACGAACCGTGTGAGGATGGTGCCAAAATGGGTGGCGGGGACGCATGGGGACGTCGCCACTGGAGCCTTAGGTGAAGCTCCCCATGGGGCCACGAACCGTGTGAGGGGTGTGCAGAACTGGGTGGCGGGAGCGGGTGGAGACGTCGCCAGTAGAGCCTTGGGCGGAGCTCCTTGTTGGGCCACGGACCGTGGGAGGGGTGTGCCAACATGGGTGTCTTCGTACGCATGGGGGTGTCGCCAGTGGAGCCTCAGGTGGAGCTCCCTATGGGGCCACGAACCGTGTGAAGGGGTGTGCCAAAACTTGTGGCGGCGATGCATGGAGACGTCGCCACTGGAGCCTTAGGTGGAGTTTCCTGTGAAGCCATGAGCCATGTGAGGGGTGTGCCAAAATGGGTGGCGGGGGCGCATGGGAACGTCGCCAGTGGTGCCTTAGGTGGAGCGCCCTATGGGGCCACGAATCGTGTGAGGGGTGTCCCGAAATGGGTGGTGGGGACGCAAGGGGGGATCCGCTGGGGCCTTAGGTGGAGCTCCCGATGGGGCCACGAACCGTGTGAGGGGTGTGCCAAACTGTGTGGCGGGGGCGCATGAGAACGTCGTCATTGGGGCCTTAGGTGGGGCTCCACGAGCCGAGCGATGGTTGTCCCAAAACGTGTGGCTCGTACGCATGGGGGCGTCGCAAGTGGTGCATTCGGTGTATCTTTATGGGGCAACGAAGCGTGTGAGGGGTGTGCCAAAGCTTGTGGCGGCGATGCATTGGGACGTCGCCATTGGAACCATAGGTGGAGCTCCCTATGGGGCCACGAACCGTGTGAGGGGTGTGCGGGTGTGCCAAAATGGGTGGCGGGAGCGGATGGGGACGTCGCCAGTAGAGCTTTGGGTGGAGTTCCTTGTTGGGCCACGGACCGTGTGAGGGGTGTGCCAAAATGAGTGGCTCGTACGCATGGGGACGTCGCCAGTGGGGCCTTAGGTGGAGCTCCCTATGGGGCCACGAGCCGCGTAAAGGGTGCCAAAACGGATGGCGGGGACGCATAGGAACGTCGCCATTGGGGCTTTATGTTGAGTCTCCTATGGGGCCGTGAACCGTGTGAGGGTGCGCCAAAATGGGTGGTGGGGACGCCTGGGAACGTCGCCAGTGGTGCCTTAGGTGGGGCTCCCGATGGGGTCACGAATCGTGTGAGGGGTGTCCCGAAATGTGTGGCGGGGGGCGCATGGGCAACTGGGGCCTTAGGCGGAGCTCCTTGTGGGGCCACGAACCGTGTGAGGGGTGTGCCGAGTTGTGGCTCGTACGCATGTGATCGTTGCCAGTGGTGCCTTAGGTGGAGCCCCTTGTGGGGCCACGAATCGTGTGAGGGTTGCCCCAAAATGGGTGGCGGGGACGCATGGGAACGTCGCCATTTGAGCCTTAGGTGGAGCTCCCTATGGGGTCATGAAACATGTGAGGGGTGTGCCAACATTGGTGGTGATGACGGCGGTGATGCTGATGATGATGATGATGGAAGAAGGGAGGAGGAGAGGAAGGCATGGGGAACAACGCGGGGCGTTGTCTCCTCAACCATCGAGGACCCAACACCACAGGATGGTTGGGGAACAAACTTCTCAGAAGGCGCAAGGGCTTCTGAAAAGCCCCGCCGCCTTCTGAGAAGGCCTTGCTCCTTCTCACTTCCACACCGTCGCTCGCCGCCGAGTGCCGACGTCGGACGGAGCTGGAGCAGGAGCAGGAGGCAGCAGCAGCAGCAGGAACCAAAACACGAGGTACGGTTTCGCAGGCGGGAGGCACGCCGCAGCTTGCTTTTCACCTCCTGGGCCGCGGGGGGGGCAGGCCGCCTCTCGGGGTCAGCGCTCCAGGCCTTCCACCGTTACCCACCAGTCGTTGAGAGCAGGTTTCTGTGGATTCCCAGGTTCCAATTTATTTTCAGCGCCTTTCTGCTTCAGTGATCGAGTGGCTTCACCCTTTTCGTTGTGCCCCCCCCTGGCGGTGCCTCGGGGGCCGCCCCTGGCGCGCTCCGCGCGCCAGGGAGGGGGGGGTCCAGCGCAGATTCGAGAAATCCGCGCGGAGCGCCACAAGTTCATGTCTATGTTGTGTTTTCTTCCTCCAGTGGAGCCCGAGCTTCTCCGCGCCAGCGTCGCCGATGAACCGCCGTCGCCGATGCTTCTGCGCCGCGTCGCCGACTGCGAGCCGCGACCCTCCGACCCCACCGAGGTCGGAATCCCATTCTGGATGCATCGGAAAGCCGGTGGGGCGCCGAGCTGGTGCGGCAGAGGTGTTCAGCGGTAGCCCATGCCAAGTAACACCCTGGTTGCCTCCAGGGTGCCCTGGGCTTCTTGGGCGTCAGTGCTTTTGCTATGGAAAGCGTGACGTTCCCACACCAATTCCATGGACGTCCTGGCGTCTCAGGGTTGGGTTTCTTGTGGAAGGCTTCTTGTGGTCGAGCTCCTACTGTACCTCTGCGCTTCCCTCGTGCTTCCTCTTGTTGTGCCTCGTGGGAGGCCCTCGTCGCCACCGCCGGATTCGCCTCGAAATTCTGGTCAGGTCGCCTCCGACGTGGGCCGATTATCCCGACGGAGTTGCGACCACTCGATGTGCAGGGGCGGCCGGCCTGGGCAGCGAGGAGAGCGGCCGGCAGCCCTTCGACGGGGAGCGCGGCAGCGCGCGCGCTCGCGCCGAGGTGGCCGCGAGCCCGCCGCTGCTGCCGCAGCGTTGCAGGTGGAGGAGACGCCGCTTCCGGGCGCTGGGCACGTCACCACCCACCAAACCACCCCAACCCAACCCGAAGGTCAGATTTACCCTCGATTTCCAGTGGGGGGGGGTCGGGAAACATCGAAAAAGCGCATGTGGAATCCTTACCCCCCCCAACCCGAAATTCGGGTCGTCGGGTTGGGTTGGGGTGGTCTGGTAGGTAGTCAGCACGGGGCACCTCCGGTAGGAAATCAGGGCTGAACCTAGACGGCGCTTTTCGTTTTCGTTCGGAAGCTGGGCGAGGGCTGCTAAAACCGTGGCTGCTCAAACGGCCCTCCCGGAAGGAAAAAACAACTTCCCGGAACGAGGCGCGGCGCGCGAAACAGTCAAGGGCTTCTTCCCGGAAGGACGATGGCACTTTCTTGGAGGTCGATTTTAGCAGCCACGGATTTAGCAGCCCTTGCCCGGCTTCCGATTCGTGCTGTTCTTCGTTTTTCCTCGTCTTGCCCTCGCTTCGCCTTCAATGCAAAACAGCACGAAGAACAAACGGCCCACGAGATGGCCAAAACACCGCTTCGGTCCGGCCCCAAAGCAAATATCATTGGAGCCTGGTGAACCCTCTTGATTCCGAAATTAGCGCCGATGAGCGTCGATTAGCGTCTGGGAGTCGATGGGCTAGCGCCGATTCCGTGTCGGCTAGAGTCGATGAGCGTCGACCTAGCGTCGATTAGCGTGGACGAATGTCGATTCGCAAGAGCGAAACAAGATGGCAGAGGAGGCTCCCATGAGTTGCCACTAAAGGGGCAGTTGAGGGGCAGCCTTTCAGATAAACCACCACCACCACCACCACTTCCATGCCCCATCTCTCCCTCTACTTTCCTCTTCCCCCCCTCCTCCTCCTCCTCCTCCTCCTCCTCCTCCTCCTCCTCCTCCTCCTCCTCCTCCTCCTCCTCCCTGGGAGAGGGAGGGGGTGAGGGAGGTGGAGGTGGTGTATATGTTTGGGCCCGTACGGTAGCTTCCCGTCGTGTCGACCGGCGGCGACCCCCCTGGCGTTCAACGTTGAACGTCGCCCGCGACCCAGAATCGGTCGATGTGGAAGGATCCGACGTTTCAGAAATATCCCATCGTTCAAGGTTGAACGATTCCCGCGGTGTCAGAAACCAACACCGGAGTCGGCACGACGCGAACCTGCCGTACAGTCGAGGAGGCTGATTGGTAGGTCGATCGTGCCAAGTCAGGGGTATCCTTGCGTCCCGCGTTCTGCGACCCATGCCCCCTGCATTCCTACGACAATGTGGCCCTCGGAAGGGTCTTGTGTCCTCTCGCGTTCCCTCTCCAATCGACTTCGACTGTGACATTACCAGTGTGTCAGTCGGGCACGTCCCCCTACAGGAGGAATATTCGAGAGTAGTCCAAAACAATATTACGGGGACCATGTTTCAGATGTTTTTGATTATTGATGATTACTTTTTCAATATTTGTCACTTTCGCCCCAAATCCGCTTGTAGTTAGGAGGACGTGCCCGACCTAAACCTACACATTACCAGTGGCGGGCTGCTTTCCAGTCCCAGGGTTTTTCGAGGGTCGGGGACGACGTCGGGGAGGTGTGGTGCATACTTGTTTTATCCGCTTCCCGGGGCAACAGCGACAATGTATACACCAGGGCCCCGTATACACCAGGATCTGCTTTCCTCTGCAGTTTTTTCAGTGCCGGGCCAGGAGAAGCGTCGGTGTGCAGGGTTCGGTTCTCTGCCACCTCGCCCGCGCTCTGGCTCCCCCTCCCACTCTCTCATGCCATTTCTCCTGTTTCTAGGCCTACCAGATGGGGTCGGAGCAGATGGGTCGGAGGATCGCGCCGCATCGCAGATGCATCGCCGATGCGGCTCGATACGGAATGCGATTTACTTCACGCCGACGTCGCCGACACACCGCCTTCGCACCGCCGACGTCGACGATGCATCGCTGGTGCATCAGCGATGCGGCGCGGTCCTTCGACCCCATCTGCTCCGACCCAATCCAGGAGGCCTCTATACTTCTGCAGGACCTCCCCCTCCCTCCTGCTGTTGTTGGTCACCGTCCTCGTTTCCGCCTCCCCCCCTTCTCGGACAAGCGTGCCCTGCTCCGCTGGATGTCGCCTGCTGTTTCTCTTGGTGGCCCCTGGCCGGAGGGATAGGTGCCGCTCGCCTTGTGTTCCGGCTTGCGGCGAGGATAACCGCATGCCCAGGATCGTAAAGCGTACCACCCCCCATTTCCGAGGCTCATGTCGATTCCTCCGATTCGATCTGAGTCGATGCCGATGGATCCGATTCCGATTCGATTCGACATCGGATTCCGATGTGATATCCGATTTCTCAATCGAGGCATACTAGCTTGCCGATGTCTACCGATTCCACTTTTTTCGACTCGGCTGCCGCTTTCCGCCGATCCGATTTTTGTTCGATCGCCTATTCGACTTATCGATTCGATTCTGGGCACTCCCACCCTTCCACGATCCTCATGATCATCCCCAGCCAAGACAGTTTTGGTCAGCGGTGGGAAGCGACGGGGCCGAATTTGATTACCGCCAGGGGAAGTATGCATCGTAGATCGAATCTTCTCACCGCGGTTAGCATCACCATCAGTACATACCATCGTCATCATCGTGTGGATCGTGTGGATCAGTATCACCGTGATTCGCCAAGCTCGCAAGGTGAGGATGTCTCGCCGATGCTTCAGCGAGGCCCCGCCTGAGCGAGCACGTTATCGCTATACCATCGTATTTGTCAGGATTCCTATTCCTCCCACCCTTCCAGGGAGGCCCGCAAGAGCGAGCACAGCAACCTTCTACCATGAGACACTCCGTGCATCCGTACACTCCGAAAGATTCCGTTCCCTCCGCCTACTCTTGCTACTTGCCGGGACAAGTTTACGATCCCGCGGGAACCCTGAGTTTTATGATCACCACCCTGTGATGATCGGGGGCATAGCGTTAGGCGCGCTCGTTTTCTCCAACCTGTGTGTACCTATTCCTCATCTTGAGGATCCCCAACCCTCCGTCCTTCTGTCACGCATGCCTCGTCTCCTGCCCTGCTCGCCCTGCTCCAACTCTTCCTCTGCCCTTCCTGATTCATATCCTGGTGATGGGCAAATCTTCCACCACCGCTACGGTAGGATGGAGGAGAAGGGAGGATAAGAGGTCCTCCTCCTCCTCCTCCTCCGCCTCCAGTGGAGGGCTGAAAAGCGGAGTTCGTGCTCCTGCTAGGCCCACGGCCAATTGTGGCCCGTGCGTTTGCGGCCAATTGTGGCCCCGTGGTTACGCCTCACGGCTCGTCAGAGCCCCGAATCATCAGGGGTAACTCGGGTCAGGGCTAACTCGGTTCGTTTTTTGGGAATCCGAACCCGAGTTGCCCCGGGCCCGAGTTACCCCGGATAATTCTGGCGTCCAGAGCCCCGAATCATCAGGGGTAACTCGGGTCAGGTCTAACTCGGGTTCGTTTTTCTTTCGGGATTCCGAACCCGAGTTACCCCTGGCCCGAGTTACCCCGGATAATTCGGGCGCCCAAGCTCGCAGAGAGAAATAACAACTCATCCGCCTCCTCCTCTTCCGTCTCCCACCCTCTGGCAGCGGTGGGGGGAAAGCGGTGCCCCTCCTCCGCCGCATCCTCGCCCCGCTCCTGCCCGCTGCTCCGCCACCTCTGGCTCCCTTCACCGCCGAAGAACCCCGAGAGAGGCAAGAGGGGGAGGTGGTCTTGGCATCGCTCGGACGTGTGCATTTTTCCTTCGGCGAGGACCATCGAGGAGCATCCTTGATCATTTCGCGAAAAAACCACGCACGAAACTGAAAAGAGCACAGGAAATGGACGTCCGAGCGATGGCCAGTGGTGTAGGTAGTGTGTGTGTAGGGGGGGATATTTTTCCCCATATCCCAAGATGGGGTTGTGTTATGTCTTGGACGCCGCCGACTTCTCCTCCTTCTCCTCCTCCTCCCCCCCCTCTCCTCCTCATACCCAGACCTACTCATACACAGGGGGGGGGGGGTTGGGGGGGGGGAGAGTTGGGGGGGGCTCCAGAGCGTTCCTGAACGCTCTGAGAATGCCGTGGCGCCCGAGATGTCCGCCGGAGCCGCCGGATCTCAGGGATTCTCGATGCATCCTCGCCCGATTGTGTCCTCGCCCTGGCTTCGTATTACCCCGGCGGCGAGCGAGGGGGGTTAAATGAGAAGGAGAAGGTCTTCTCAGAAGGCGGCGGAGCTTCTCAGAAGCCCTCGCGCCTTCTGAGGAGTTTTTGGTTTTCTGTCTACGGGGCAGGCTCAGAGAACTCCTCAGAGAAGGCTGGGGGACTTCCGAGCCTTCTGAGAAGGCCTTCCCCTTCTCACTCCCCTCCTCTCCTCGCCGCCGATCTTCAAATGGGCCAGAAATTTGGGGCCCAGCGCTGGGGTACAGGACGACGGGGGGGGGGGGCGTCCATCCTCGATGGGGGGTGCGTCCAAGTAGCCCCCCGTGGGGTGTATCCCAGGGTCTCCCCCTCGCTCGCCGCCGATGACCTCCCTCGAAGAAGAACAACAAAACATAAACATCAACTTTTGGCGCTCTGCGCGGAGTTCTTTCAAGAGGGAAAGAAACACACAGACACAATTAATCGGCGATTCCTCTGAAAATACAGGAAAATATGGGAAGTGGGGGGGAAGACAAAAACCCAGAACATATGGGAAACTATAGGGAATCTTTTTATTTGTGTGTATTTATTTGTGTGTCCTGGGACCCCTTCATTCTTGGATCCGCACTGGGAACCGCTCCGCGCGCCAGGGAGGGGGGTCCAGCGCAGATCCAAAAACTCCGCGCGGAGCGCCACAAGTGTATGTTCATGTGATTACCTGTTCCTCTTCTGCTCCCGGACCCCTTGGAGGAGGTGGACATGGCCGACTTCCTGCGGCTGCGTGCCGAGGCGGCCGCCGCGGAGGCCGGCGGGCCGCCGCGGGGCGGCGCCGCGGCACCCCGGAAGCGGCCGCGC